AGATCTTTATTATACCTGTTTGTCTGTTTATGGTTCTGGGGATCAAACCCAGGTCCTTGTACATATCAGGCAAGCCCTTTACCATTGAGCTACATCCCCAGTCCTTTTTTAAAAAGGAAAAAATAATAATTTTTTTTGAGACAGGGTCTCACTGAGTTGCCCAGGCTGTCATTGAACTTGTGATCCTCCTGCGTCAACCTCCTAAATGGCTGGCGTTATAGGCATATGCCACTACACCCAGCATACCTTTATTTTTGAAGAATTTTTATTTTAATTGTGAAAGGAGTGGGATTTATTCAAGTGTGAAGAATAGAAACAGAACTCTCACAGGGTCAAGAGAGGACTGCAGCAGGGATTGCCCTTGAAGGTATTTTTGCTTAGTTTAAAAATTTAGATTGACATATTGTTGGGGGGTTTTCCTAGCACTTAAAATATTTTGATGTATTCTTTCTCACTGCACTATTTCCAAGGAGAAATCTGCTGCTATCTTTATATTTATTCTTCTACATAATATGCCCCCCAGCTGCTTCTAAGATTTTCTCTTTCTCACAAATATTGAGCAATTTAATTACATGTGTGTATATTAGTGCATTTTTTTTTTCCAGATTTCTTTCGCTTTGGGCTCATTGAACTTCTTGGATCTGTGGGTTTGTAGTTTTCATCAACTTTAGAAAATATTTGAACATTGTTTCTTTTTTTTTTTTTTTAAGGTGTTGGGGTGGAACTCACGGCTTTGCACATGCTAGTCAAACACTGTGCCACTGAGCTATATATTCCTGTGCCCTTTTTACTTTGAGACAAGGTCTGGCTGAGTTGCCTGAGCTGACTTTGAACTTGGAGTTCTCTGGCCTCAGCCTCTGGAGACACTGGGATTACAGGCATGTGCTACCATGCCTGGCTTGGACATGATGTCTTCAAATATTTTTTCTGTACTCCCCTCTTTTTCAGGGATTCCAATTCATATATTACATGTATCTTAGACTATTTGAAGTCCCATAGATAGCTGATGCTCTTTAATTTTAAACTATTTTCCCCCCATTACTGGGGATTGAACCCAGGGGTGCTTTACCACTGAGCTACATTCCCAGCCCCTTTTTGTTTTAAATTTTGAGACAGGGTCTTGCTAAATTGCCTAGGTCCTCACTAAGTTGCTGAGACTGGCTTTGGACTTGCGATCCTCCTGCCTCAGCCTCCTGATTTGCTGGAATTACAGGCGTGCACCATCACACCCGACTAAACTATTTTTTTCTCTGTGTATTTAATTTTGAATAGTTTCTGCCTTTCTGGTCAATAATTTTCTTCTGCTATATCTAATATGCTATTAATCTTAGTCAACATAGTTTTCATCTTACTCAATGTAGTGTTCAGCTCTAAAAGTTCACTTTGCATATTTTAGATGCATGTTTTTGAATTATGAAATACAGTGATAGTAACTATGTTAACATACTTATCTGTTAATTCTAACGTCTATGTCAGTCCTAGTTCAATTTTAATTAATTAGTTTTTCTCCTTATAATTAATATTTTGTATGCCTGGAAATCTTTGATTAGATGGCTGATGTTGTGAATTTTATCTTACAAGAGGTTTTTGGTATTTCTATAAATATTTTTGAGTTTTGTTGTGGGATTCAGATGATTACTTGGAAACAGTTTCTTTCTTTCTTTTTTTTTTTTTTTTTGTGAGTGTGTGTGCTGGGGATTGAACCCAGGCCTCCTGCATGCTGGACAAGTGCTCTATCACTGAGTCACATCCCCAGCTTCCATATGATCCTTTTGGTCTTGCTTTTAAGAGTTATTAGGCAGGACAGAGCATTATTTAGGGTAGGGTTAATTATTCTCCACTACCCTTTGAGTATTGTACTCAATTCCCCGTGAATTATGAAGTTTTCCAGTTTGTCGTGGGAACAGCCACTGTTCCCAGTCTTGTGTGAACCTGGCACTGTTCTCTAATCTGCTAGGCAGTTCTTTCCCTGGCCTTGGGTAGCTTCCTCACACCCATGAGTTAATCATGCCAAATACTTTTTGTGACTTTTCAGGCACCTCCAGGCCTCTATACAGCTCTCTCCTCTCCAGCACCCTGTCTTGCAAATTCTAGACACCTAGTCTCTTTGGACTCACAGTTTTATCATCAATTCAGAGAAGTTGCTGAGTTTCCTTGGGCACAGCCTGGAAATCCTCATGAGGCAATAAGATGGGGTTAACTGTAGAACTTACTTTGTTCATTTTCCCTTCCTTCAGTGACTGTCCTTCATTGCTTCAAACAGTCTTAAAAACCTTCCTTCCTTCTTTTCCAGGTGGTGGAATAAATCCAATTGCTATTGCTCCATCTTGGCTGAAAGAAAAAGTCTTTTCTCTTCAAATGCTTATCCTTTGTAACAACTAGAATAGTGCTGGGCAAAATATGGTAGACTGCTTCTTGAATTACTTTATCTTTGTACATAATGATATCCAAGCAAAAATTTATTTAGAAATTCCATTGTAGGTTATTAATTTTTTAAAGTTCAATAACAAATTCTTATAATTCTTATTCAAATACAGATCAAATTTGTTTATGGAATTGCATAGAGTAAGATTTTAATTTTTTTTTTTTTTTTAGTTTTAGGTGGACCCACTATCTTTATTTTACATTTATGTGGTGCTGAGGATCAAAACCAGGGCCTCGTGCATACTAGGCAAGCGCTGTACCCCTGAGCCACAACCCCAGCCCCAAAGATTTTTAAATTTTTGATGACAATACTACAAAGAAATGTTTTCCAAATGCTTGTTTTATGTGAACCTGCCTTCAGATATTTATTTTGTTTTCTGACTTATAGAAAATATCAAATATGGAATCAATACATATTGATGTATTGATGTTTTTTATCACTACCAAAGTCCCCTTGAATATCTGGCCCATAGCAAACACTATGTATTCAAAGAATGATTGAATGATGGAACACTTTTTGGTTTGAACACTTTTTACTTCACCAAATAATATAATTCCTTTCAATAACATCCTACTTGATATGCCTCTCTTTCCATTTTATGAATCAAAGCTCTCTTTAGAATAGGTTCTTGCTTCTTCTGGTCTCTTCACAATGGGTTTTGTAATGTCACTTGGTAACATTTTTCTTTTTTGGGGGGGGGGTCCTGGGAATTGAATGCAGGGGTGCTTAACCACTGAGCCTCATCCCCAGCCCTTTGTGTATGTTATTTTAGAGACAGGATCTCTCTGAGTTGCTCAGCGCCTTGCCATTGCTAAGGCTGGCTTTGAACTCACAAACCTCCTGCCTCAGCCTCCCAAGCCACTGGGATTACAGGCTTGCGCCACTGCACCCGGCAGTAAATTCTTTTGTCAGATGAACTTAACACACAAATCACTTCTTTCTCTACAGAGAGCCAACATTCTGATTTGTAAATTCTAAGGAAAAGACTTGGCTTATCCTCTTGGAAGTATCAGATGTGCCTACTACTTTGACTTCTAGCTGAATTCTTGGGAAATCTTGGGGCCCCAGCCCTTTCCCTCAAGCTCCCCACCTCTGATGCCCTTCCATGGCCCCAGTCAAATCTTGCACATCCTCCAAGACCAACTGAAGCCTTCCTTCCTCCGAGAAGTCTTCTCCTGCCATGGTGATCTCACCCTCCTGCCTGCTTCTTAGAACTTAATTATCTTTTCCACTCACTTGGTACCTAGTCATCCATGCTGCCTTGTCATGCCCTTTTGTGTTTAAGTGGGAGCATCTGTTTCAACCAGCTTCAAAAGGGCAGCCCACATGTGCCCAACCAGCACTTACCAAGTACTGACTGCGTGCCTGGCCCTATTCTAAGACGCTTTTATGCATGACTTCAGTGAATCCTCACCCCCTCTGTTAGTTCTGTTATCCCACTTTCCAGATATGAAAGTGGAGGCCCAGGGCTGTTAGGTCACTTCCCAGGGTAGCTATCAGAGCCAGGATTCACTCAGGCATTCTGAGCCTTGCCTACCACACTGTGCTGTGGCACCGGGGGGTACAGTAGTTGGTCCATACATCTTTGTTTTGTTTTCACAGTGCTGAGGTCGGAACTCATGCCAGGCAAGGGCTCTACCATGGAGCCACACCCGACCCCACTTGTTGATGAATGAATGAAAACGTGGAGGCTCAGCCTGTGCCGGAGGCGAGCACGGTCCCTGTCCTGTTGCTCTCCCAGCTTCTCTGTTTCCCATCCCTCCTGTTGCTGTTTTTCTTAGGGTGAGATCCTGTGTGGTCCAGGAGGAAAAAGAAGGGATGCCTACACCCCTTTCCCATTTTCTCCCTTGCAGGTTGGGCAAAGAGCAAGTTGGGGCAGTTCTTCTTCCTGCCACCCCCTTGCTCTCAGAGCCAGCTTGCAAACCAGAGCAGGGAGAAGTGAAAAAAGGAAGGCAGTGGGGTTCACGACATCCTCAGGAGGGCTGGCTTCTGGGGCCTTTGCCTCTCAAGGCTCAGTCAACCGGATGTTCTTTTAGCTCGCTGGAATTCAGCCGGATTTACAGAGATAAGATCAATCTGACCCTTAATTCCTCAAATGTAATTTATGGGCTTGCCTCCTGTGTGCCGCGACACGTCTGGCTATCCAAAATCTGGTAATTATTTATGTAAACACGGCATCCTGCCTGTGTGGATGATAATTGGACTTGAACAGAAGAAGCAGAGACTTAGCGCAGTCGGGGCTGCACTGAAACCCTCCTTTTGAAAAAGACTCACCTGAGTCTTTGAAATCTTTCTGTGGCTCAAGGTTAGCTGTAACCAGACCCCAAAAGATATTTCTTTTTTTTTTTTTCTCTTCTAGGAGGCCTGGGCAAATTTATTCCCTGACACCACTAGGTTTTAGAGGTCCTCTCAAAGGATGGGGTGAAGCTACCCCAAACTTCTCAGCTGGAGGACTGAGAGGTGGAGGCCTCCCTGGGTCTCCTCATTGTCTGTTAGAACATGAATTTTATCCCCCTCCTAAGAATAAACAGGATTAGGAATTTTATGCTGTTTGGAAAAGAGGAGAGGTGCCTGGTGAAAGAGAAAGCTCTTTGCTTTTTATTCATGCTGTGAATTCCCCAGGAGCCTTCCCTGTACATACACACACGAGAGCCAGGAGGATTAGGGGAAAGAAAATGAGCCGATTGAACCAGATGGTTCGGGAAGCACTCCCAGGAGGCCACTGGGGTGGATGAATCTGCATCTTTAAATAACATTAATTTCTGAAAGGCCCAAATTGTTTCCCAAATGACTGCACTGAGCTCCTAGCTTTCATCTATTTTTATGGTCCCCTCTCCTGTATGAAGGCAGGAGCTGCTGCATGGGAGGAACCGGTTCTGGAGAAATCCTTCACGCTGAGTGCAGGCTGCAAGGAATCCGTTTCCTGAAGGAAAAAGAAATCTTTAGGCATCAAAGTGCTGTGAAAACAGATTTTGACAGAAACCACCACCCCTGGATGGATCTGAACAAACCACCGAGTTCTGATGCCAGCTGGGACACTCATTTCCTCGGTAGCCGGGGGCAAACCACTTAACCTCAGTTTCCCCATCTGTAAAATGGGGTTAATCAGCTTACCTGCTGCAGGAGTGCTGTGAGGTTTTAATTGGGTAATGGTTGTGGAGCCCTTTGATGTAGTGAGTTTTATTAACTTGCAAGGGATTCCCTGAGGCCAGAAAAAGCAGTTAAACTCAGGAGAGAAGAAAGGCAGTGAAATGAGCAAAGCAGTTCACCTCCAGCTCCGATTTCAGAAGCGCAGAGTGGGGCTGGTCCCATGTGAGTGGAGAGCAGCGTCCCGGCTGGGGTCGGCTTGGTTGGCCCAGAGAGCCCAATGTTCTCAGAAGGAGCTTGGTTGTGAGATTGTGGAGGGAGAAGGTGGGTCTATGACCTTGCTTGATCAAACCCCATCATCCATGGATTGCTCTAAGGTTCTTCTCTAAGCTAGGTCCCCTGTAAGAACTATTCGGGTGTTAATTTAAAATCCTTGGGGATTGAATTTGGAAAGCCCCAGCCTCAGGCCTCCTGCCTCCTAACAATTAAATAAAGACAGACCTCAAGGTCTGGCCTCTGGCCAGGGCTCCTGACCAGCAAAGGGCTGGCAGAACAGCACCCTCCACGGATCAGAAAACGGGAGCTTTTTCCGGATCTGTCCCTCATGGCTGGGCCAACCAGCCAAGCCCCCACGTCATCCTGTGCCTCAGTTTCCCACTCATAAAAATGATCCCCATCAGACATTCTTGCCTTAGAGGCCCAATAGTCAAGATTTGGAATGTGAATGTGCACTTGAATTTTAAAGCCCTCTCGAAGTGTTAGCTATTATATAATTCAGCACGGACTCCTTCTTTTCCTTCAGTAACATTTAAAAATCCCAATTCCAATAACTGTGTTTCCAAGTCGACTCGTGCAGCACAAGAAGCCCGGTCCACCTCTTCCTCCTACCTTTTGATGCCCTGCCATGTGGAATGCCCACTCACAGCCAGAGGAGAGGGGGGCCTGCAGACTATCTGTTCTGACCTCCAGGGCTTCGGTCCCCCCCCACCCCTGCAAAGTGACAAAATGCAGGGCCGTGTGATTTGCAATGGGAGGTAAACCACACAGCCTAGGGACACACAGGGATCAATGTCCATCTCCACTTGGCGGGATTCAGCTCCTTGGTGCCCACTGAGTCCTCTAATGTGCTTTCTTGGTGACAAGCGAGCATGTGGCTGGGAATGTGTCAGCTCCCAACTAACAGTTGAGTGCTGTTCCTATCCCTGAAGTCACTTTCCTTCCCAAAATGGGCACATTATACTCTGGGAGTCAAAACCTCTTTTCCAAGGCTGTGTCCAGTTCAAGTTTGTCAAAATGAGCACTGAGTTCCCAAAGTAAAGTAATTTTAAAAGACCCAACCATTTTCCTAATCATAATTTACTAAGCTGTGCATTTAGTTAAAAACAGGTTTTTAATACCCTGTTTTATTTTGCCATGCAAAGGTAAAGAAAAATACCTGCTGTTAAAGGAAGTAAAATCATTATTCATCATACACATGTTTTGTCTCATTGTCCCATTCTCTACCCCAACCATCGCCTGAACGACCCCTTGGTCTGACCCTTGTAGACAGGGGAGATAATCAGGGTTGGGATTGGTTTTGGTGGAGGGGGGAGGCTTGTTTTGGGGGGGTTGATTTTTTTACAAAGCATCCTTGACAGGCACTTATGTTAATGAAAGCAGTCTTCTGACAGATCAGAACCTGGCTTTTATAGCATCAAAAAAGTAATTTACATGGAGGAGAAATGGGAAGCAATGATTAAATCAAAGCCGCCCTCGGCAGCCTTCCCCCGACTGGCCCATCTGAAAACAGCCCTGTTTCAATTCCGCAGCTGAGCTCAGCCTGCCTGCTCCAGACGTCCAGACCTCGCACTCTATAAATCGTCTCTGCCCTTGCCCCGGAGTTGCTGACTATATGTATTTTGGGACCCAGCATTAATTCCCTCATCCTTGGCTGGTGACATTAAGATTTGTAACTGATAGAATGTGTTTTTAATGTATTTCCTGCAGGTTACTATTAAAGAAATGTAATTCTTCGGAACTTGCAAAAAGGTTCTGCTTCCATTTAAAAAAGAAAAAAAAAAAAGAAACAGAAAGAAAGGGATTATGGGAAGAATTTCCCAGCAGCCTCCAGATGGACTAGGCAGCCGGAGGGGTCAAGGGCTCCAGAGTTGTGTTTAGCTCTCCACTTACTCTTCTTCCTCTGGCCCAGTCTGTTCTCTTTCTGCACCTTCGTTTTCCTGGGTATGAAATGAGGATAAATATTTGTCTATGAGATGAGGGTGTTGTAAGGATTAATTGGTTGGTGCTTCGGGAAGCCTTTGAAGATGAAAGACACTCTCTGCAGATGCTAAGTAAACTCATAATGTGTCTGGTTTTAATGAGCCAGGTGAAGCTAGTGGGGGTGGCTGGAGATTAACTGTGCCTAGCCCAGAGCTGCCTGCTTGGGCCAGGCTAAAAACTGGGTGGAGCTCTTGGCTGGTTCCCTGGGCCTGGCCCATCTCCATTTCTCCTGGCTCCTGACACAGGGCCTGGCACATGGGTTCTCTAGAAATACTGTGGATACAGATGGAAGTGAATTGGAATTTAACCAGACTCCCCAAATCATGCTCATTGCCTCTCATTCTAGCCCATGACTGAGGTAAGTTACCTGAATCTCAGTTCCTCATTGGCCCGTGGGGTCAGTTAGAGTCGCCAGTTAGAGTCTTATAGGATTGTGGTAAAGATTTATTGTAAAAAATGGCTTATAGCAACTGAGCACTTGTCAGACACCAGGTTCCAAACACTATACTCCTGAACTCACTGGATTCTCACACCAATATCACAGAAGAGGGACTATTACCATGATCATCCCCGTTCCTCAGAGCTGAGGCCCAGACAGATCATGTGGTAGCTTACCTAGGGTCCAGGTTGGTAAATGTCAGCTAATAAGTTGTTCACAAAGTGAATCCTGCACATCACCGCTAGCAGAGCTCTGGACACATCAGAAGTGCCCAGCCAACAAGGTTGTCCAAGACTGCCTGATTTGTCCAGCTGGCAAAGAGATGTCCCACAGGAGTGTGACACAGGACCAGCCTGGGAATGGAGCGACCAGGAGAGTAGGGACCAGAGTAGACGTACACAGCAGCTCAGAACTGTGGGAAGGTGCCAGTTGTGTGTGCGCCAAGCCAACGCACAAGTTTGAGTAAGGTCTAAGTCTGGGTCTGTTCAGGGTGACCGCATTTGGGATGCATGATACTTTGTGAAAAGCATCTCATGCCAAATCCTGGTACCTCGAAGACAGTCTGAATTAGGAGATTCGAGGGCTGACATACAGAAATGCCTGAGACTACCCCATGGCTTCCAGGGGTGGTATCTCGGAGGAGGTGGGCTCCATTGTTGCTATTCCAGGCAATCGACAAACCAGAGGTTCAAAATAAATCAAAATACATTAAGAATCTGGCCCAATGCCATCATTGAGGGGCCAGGAGGGGAAACTGAGGCACCCGGAAGGATGACTTCACACCCCAGCCCTGTGACGTCACTGACCTAGGAGGGGAACCAGCAGAAAGTGGCCTGGGGAAGCCCTGGTCAGAACAGAAATATCTCCAGCAACTGCTGCTGGTGATGGAAAGGGAAATGGAATTTTGTCTAAATATTATGTTGTTTTGAAAAGTCTGACTAATGTGAAAGTCCCTATTTAAAAAGGAGTTGACTCTAACACTGAAATTGGTTGGAGTTTCCACACCCACATGTTGACTAAGGCCTCGAAAAACAAACTTCCTGGTAGATCCTGATGCAAATCACCTGGGAGCCAACGCTTCACGGCCCAGGCCATGAGCTGTGAGCAGAGGGTTGCAGCCAAGAAAAATCCTGCGTCTGTTTATGAAAAGGCAAACAGATCCCCAAAAAGAGGCCCGAGTCCTAGCTTAGGCACAGGCCCTCCAGGGAAGAGCCATGGATTGAAAGGAAATCTGAGCGCAGCTTCTCTGGGACCCCAGGTAGCCCCATTTCACAGCCTTTCCGAAATATGAAGAATGGGGACAGGGGCAGGGGGCCTTCTGTTACTGAGGACCCCCAGAATGCCGGGCCCATCATTGAGTCTTCAGTTATATGAAGCCCGTGCATCTGCCTATCACCCATCCACGTCCCCCATGCAGAAATAGGCTCTGGGAGTTTGAGCAGGGTGACCTGGGGGCCAGTTTGCCCCAGAGTTCCTGCTGATGCTATTGTCCCAGCATGATTAACAAAAGCCCTGTCATGGGCATGAGGAATCACAGGAAGATCCTACACTCAGTGAATTTGCCCCAATTCACCCAGCTAGAAAGTGCCAGCCTTGGGATGGAAACCCAGGCTTTTCACCCAAGAGCAGCTGCTGCTGCTGGTGGTGATGGTGGGGTGGGGGGCTCCTTCCTCATTCACAGTCAAACCTGGAGGAGCGGACCCAACCTGGCAGCCCTCTGGGAACTGCGCCTGCTCCCCCTCCTCTCCTTCCCGCGGGGCCTCCAGGAGCCTGCCTGGTCTTCTCTGGGCCAGAAAGAGCACCCCAGCAGCAGGCGCTCAGCAGACAGGATGCACACACTCACCAGCACCCACCTTGGTCCTCCTGCTGGGAGCGCCTCCACCAGCAGCTCCCCACCCTAACCCCCAGGCCAGGACCCCTTCAGCCCTCCCCACTGACAAGACCCCCTTTCCTCAGAGAGCTGCCCTGGGCCACCCCTCAGCATCCTGCCACTGTCGCTGTCCCTCCAGCTCTTGCCTTTGGGCTACAGGCCTGTTGTCCTGGGGCGGAGGAACTGACCCACAGGAAGCTCATTTTACCAGGAAGAAACACAGTTCCAGAGGGCAAATGACTTGCCCAAGAACACACAGGTGAAAGTG